AGTGCTGTGCAGAGCTGGAAACAAACAAGTCTGTCTTTGGGACATTTGAGACAGGGAAGAGGATTAGCCCTGCAAGGCCGGGCTAGGGCCAAGAGCAGAAGGCCAGCACCCTGCACTTGCCCACAAGGAGCTGTCCAGAGCAAGAAGCCACTCCTGCCCAGGGGCTGAGGTGCCCGAAGCTGCCTCCCCGCTGTGCAGCTCTGCAGAGCCCACGGAGCGCAGGGCCCTGGGCAGCCAGGGCAACCCGGCTGCCTTGGGGCACAAGGAGTGTCCCAGAGAGAAGCTGCTGCCCTTTGCTTTGGAAATGTTGCTCAGAGTCTTGTCATTAATCCACAGGGTCTGACATGTTTTCCTTTCCTCTCACAAATTCAACACAGCTTTTTGAGAAAATTGACTGATGTAGCTTCTGCTGGTGATGGTGCTTTTGTCTGCAGGTGAGAGCTGGTGATTTGAACCAAGGACAGAGTCCACTGTTAACACCCCAGTATTGCCAAGTCAAGAAAACCATTCCCAATTGGGCTACTGGTGCTGAGCAGTTTTCCTCCCTTTTGGATAGCTACAACCTTAAGAAACCCAAGATTTTCCTCCATGAGGATACCAGCAGTAGCATGATGCCAAGTTTTTCCACTTCTTTTCTGTGTTTTGGGTGCTTTTAAGAGTTCCTCAGTGCCCAGCAGGAATGAAAGGACCTGTGATTGGAGAGCTCTGTGTTGTGCCTTGCCACATGAGTATTCATTACAAGCTGGACACCCCACTTGTGGGTCTGTCAAGTTAAATTCATCCCAATTCTGTGCAAACAGCAGCCCCGAGATACTGAGAAGAGCAAGGACAGTGGGTGGGTGTGCATGCACAGACTCAGGGCCGACTGCTGTGTGGGCAGAAGGCTTTGGACAGCAGAACATCTCCCAAGTTGGAGGAATATATCAGATCTATAGGAAATGAAAATGTAGAAATCTATATGAAATCAAAATAAATAAAAATGTATGAAATAATACATCGTAATTTATCATCTATGTAATTGAAATATATATGCTTTTGCCAGCCAGAGGTCTATGTACAAATCACAAACAGGATGGGACTGTTGTGGAACACACTTTGAGCTGTTTGTTTTCCAGCATCAGTCTCATTACATGGTTATGACAATAGGAAGATGCCAGCAGCTCACATCCCTGGCAGAAGACAAAGAACTTAATGTTACAGCTTACTTGAAAAGTTGGTATTTGTCCTTACTTTTCTACTTCTTATATAACTTTTCTGCTGACAAATCTTATGGTTCCTGCTTAGCTCTAGCTGCAGTACTGCTGCCTCTGAGGCCTGCCTTTTGCAGCTTTTCCAAAAACTCTCTAATTTTAAGGATTCCCACAGACACCACAGGAGTGAGGGCAATAGGTCCACCACAACCTCACTTGTCCATTCTTTGCACATTAAACGCTTTGAACTTAATGTGAACGTGATACATTCCTAACCTTCATATTGCAACATATTTTATAATTACATGATTATGTAAGCCCTTGTAGCACATAGGCAGTTTCTACAGGTCAGTCTCTGGTGGTTGTTTTGGATGAAGGCTCAGAAGGCTTCCTTGGGCTTCAGATTGTTTACCTGTTTCTGCACATGCTCTACAAGATTGTCTGCTCAAATAGCCACTGGTGAGCCTTTTGCAGTTAGCTTGTTCTGCTAAATTTGCTGATTTCTAAAAAGTGCTTCATTCCCATCCCTGGGTACAAAGTAACTACTTCTTTCTGCACAGCTTTTAGCATAGCTCAAGCATTATCTCATTGCCTCGGCATCTAAAAGAAGGTAGGGAGGAGGGGGCAAACCAGTGAGAGTGATGGGTCATTATCTTGTTAACCAGGTACCAATTCTTAGATTAACTAAGGGCTATTCTTGTCCATAAACTACGTGCGGGGATACCACAGAGACAGAGGCAACGTGTGGATTTGGAGCGCTGGGCTTGGCACCAAAGTCCTGCTCTTGAGAGGGGTGCAGGGACACAGGGAATGTCAGAGGACAATGAGAGACGGGGGACATGAGGCCATAATGGGCCAAGCATGATCCTGCACAGGATGGCAGCAAAGAAACTTCCTCACCATGGCTCTGGCACTCCAGGGCACCCCAGAAAGGGCTGAGGAGTCCTATGTGTAACCAGGAGGGAAGACTGACATCACTGTGGGTCCCAGCATTCCCCAGTCCCTTGCTGGCCATTCAGTGCACACTGGGGACGCTGGGCATGTGTGGGACATGGGGATGGGGTGCACAAAGTTTGGCTTCCACTCTTTCCAAAGTGTAAGGAGTGGACGCCAAAATCGCTGGGTGGAGATACCCAAAAATTAGGTGTCATATCCCAAAATGGAGGGAGGAACCCACAAAATTGGGGCGATGCCCCAAAAAAACACATGAAGCTGTTCCCTCCATCCATTATTCACCAGCAAGAACTATCTATCAACTCTGTATTCAGTAAATAATTTCAATTGTTTTAGCTGAAACTCATTCTGAGCAAACTTTGTAGAACTGATCACGGAACCACAGAATGTTCTGTGTTGGAAGGGATCCACCGAGTCCAGTTCTGAAGGGAATGGCTTGCTGGCAGGGTCAGCACCAAAGACGCCCCCTGCAACTTAAGGAAGAAGTGTAATTTACTGTAGGGCAAAGCAGCAAAGAAGTACAAAATGAGAAGCTAAACAATGCACCTGATTATTACTACAAAATATACATCAGCAGTTACCCTAATGCTTGACCATTGTCCTGACACAGCTGGGGATGCTGTGTCACACCAAAGGATTGGAGAAACACTCCAAGTAACTGGGAATTCCTGTGTGGTTTGCCCACCCTCAGGAGAGGCCGCCAACTTTGCTGTGAGAGGGTCCAGATTTTATACTGTTGAATAAACAAGCTACCATAACTTCTAGTGCAGGAACATCTGGTTTCATCCTCTCCTTGGCCAGGGCTCAGGGAGGAACCAAGGGAGTTTGCTTTGACCCTGTACCTTCATACAAAGCCAGAGAGAATTGTGAAAAATGAATATGATTTGTGCTAATAATTGTAACTTTATCAATATTTTAGAAAATATTTGTTAAAAAGTAATAGAAGTGATATGTAATTAGCATCAAAAAACAGATGTTCGCAGATGTTCATAAGATACGGGATAGAGTACTGAGATATTTTAACACAAATGACCTTGGGAAGGACAAAGCTGGGAAAAACTCCAAGAGCAGAGTCATCACTGAGACAAATTAAATTCCTGGCAACTTCTTAGTCAAGAACACCCTTGAAGACTAATAAGTTGATATAATTCCAAATAGAAAGCCCAAAAGTGGAAAATAATTCTTACGTTTATAACACCAAGCTCAACGTTCATGCGCAACCTGCCAGGTTATTCAGAGGACAGCGAGGAAGGCCATTGGCCTTCATCCAAGAAGACCCCTGAAGAGTCTTCCCTTTTACTTTGCCTTGGACTCCTTGCGTTGTGCCTCTGCTGTGTCACCCACATCACAGCAATCACCACCACCCTAGGCAGTCTCAGCAGAGATCCGGGGGTGGCCGCTCTTGTCAGTGCCCTCTGGCCACCAGGAGTGTGCTGGACAGCAAATCTCCACTCTGTGGCCCCAGTGTGCCACCACAGGGGAGGAGCTCAGGGTGGAAGGGGTAGGGATGGGGTCCAATGCAACCTATGATGTTGGTTATTTCTGCATGCTTATTGTTCTTATTGTCGATCGATTGGTCATTGCTAATGGTGCTTGAAGAATAATATCTATAGTAGGCATTGCAACTGAGTAACATTGCATCTGCTTTGAACTTTGGGGGCACCACCATTCCAAAGACCCTGGTCAGATCATTGCAGTGGTGCTGCAGGAGCTGCTGAAGCCACCGCCTTCCCAAGAGCATCCTCTAAGAGAAGGGAATAGCTCAGCGCACACCAGACACTCGCACCACACGTTGTTATCTGAGGGTCGATGAAGAAGCACAGAGGGGCTCTTTGTATGGTATTCCAGTGGCCTTTATTATCAGCACACTGAAATGGACCAGGGAAAAAGAGCAAAGAACAAAGGGTCCAGGATTAGGGATGAGGGAGGTGGAGCATTGAGTAAAGAGAATAGGGGCAGTACAGAGGCAGGGTTATAGGGTAGCAACCAACTGGGATTCAGGGGAGGAGCTGTGAGGAATGGGGATTGATAGGGAAGGCAGGAGCAGGGAACATTCTAGAATGGGGGAGGAGGAAAGGGATGACAAGGGATAACTTGGATTATTAACATATAACAGCAGGGAACTGTGGCAGAGCAACTCTTTGTGTCATCCTAACTTAAAGGGGTGTTTCTTCCCAAGGTGTCCCTGCCTCAGCATCCTCCTCTGTGTCTTGGAATGCAACAGATCATGACTGTGGTTCTGGGGTAGAGTGTGGCAGAGGCACCCACTATCCACACTCTTGGCATTGTCACCAGTGTTGTTGCCTTGCTGAGGTAAAAAGTCTTCTGGGTTGTGCTTGTACTGTCCTTTTATTGTGAACAAACAAGGTGACTTTGATGTGGTATGTTTTGTTTTCCCTCTCTCTTTGGGCTGTAGGATGAGAGACCTGGGAAGTCACAGTCTGACCCACTGGGACAAACACAAGAACCCTAGAGGATCAAGACATAAGGGGTGAGAAAGGATCAGACAAAAAATCCGGGTAAAGAGCATTGGTGGAGACATCCTCAAAGCAACACATGCCCATAGTTCTGCTGTATGAACATGATCTCTCCATCAATAAACATGGCAACCACCCACCATGATATGGGCACTGCCAATTGGATGGCACATGCCATGGACCCCTGTGTGATCCACTGTGACATAGGCACTGCCAATTGGATGTCATCATCATGGGCCTCTTTGTGACCCATCACCAGTGACATATGGACACTTTGTGACCCACCTCTGGCATCAAAGCATCCACCCACATAACCCCAGAGTGCACAAGAGGACAGGAAGGAACAGAGCGAGGCTGCAAGGAGGCCTTGCATAGCCACCTCATGTTTTGCTGAGCCCTGTCATCCTTTCCAAGGCATCTCCCATCCCTCTGGCTGAAGTCCTCAAAGCCCAAGCTCCAGCAGGATCAAAAGGCAAGAACTCCCAGTGAAGAGAACCCCAAGCATGCCCAGAATGACCTCTGTGAAGGGGAGGGAAGGGGAGAAGGGGGAGGAGGAGGAGGAGGAGGATGATGATAAAAGCCCTGGGACTGTCCTAGCACAGCAGCCTGAAGAAGTGGAGGGAGTCCAGCTGCTGCAGGCAGGTAAGTGGCTGAGCTGGGCCATTCCATTGCACTGTGGACATCCCCAGGGAAGAAGGGGAAATGGGAAGGCGCTGATTGTCGTAGTAGCTCTGCTCTATCAACCAGGCACCCTCAGCCCCAGGCTGCAGCCAGAGACACAGGGATTGGTGACCCCACAAGCTGTTTTCTGTGAGCTGGTCCTTGCTGGGGAGTGCAGGGCTCATCTGTGTTCTCCAGCCTCTCCTGCACTCCCTCAGCTCTGACTGTGCTTGCTTTTTGCCAAATCCAGTTGAGAAACTGCCACAAAAGAAGAAGCACTACCACTTCTACTTCCTGCCTGGGCTGGACATGCTGTTGCAGCTCAGCCAAGCACTGCTGCAGAGCACTAGATTTGACATCTATATTTGTCCTGCCTTAAGATACTTTTGAACTTCCATAAGCCTACTGATCCTGAAGACAAGAACAGCACGGCCCCTGAGGACATGGCAAATGCTGACTCCCATAAAGCAGAAGACTGTGCCATGCTGGATGCAATCATGGGAAGTGGCACCTCCAGAATGAAGAAAGTAAGTTGTCTACGGAAAGGATTGGCCAATGAGCAAATGTGTACATAATCAAGCTGAGTCTGCTGAGCACACAACGGATTTTTAGGCCAGCAAGTGTACTAGAAAATGAAGTACTGCTTGGGAGTAAGCTGGGAAAATGGCTCTCTCTAGTGGCACACCAATTCCCTCACATATCTCCTCCAGGTGCCGACCATTGTGAGGGACATTTACCAAAGTCTCTCATTCAACAAGGATATATCTACTAACTACAGTCGGGATGAGAACCTGCAGGAGATGGCCCTTGCACAGCCACATGATGTGGTGGTGACCCTCCTGCGATGTGCCCCATCATGTGACAGGTACAAGGCCCACTGGCCTGGAGGGCTCAAGGATTCATCAGCCTGAGACCCCATCAACATGTAGACACAGCCTCACATGTGGTGGCAGAAAGAGGGAAATTTTCAGAAGCCCCTCTGATGCCATTATTTCCCAGTCATGGCATGTCAGCCCAAGAGCCTGCTGCCATGCTCCTTCCCTGTCCTGCAAGGCACCATCACTTGGCTGTCTGCTACTCACAGTGGCAGTGTGGCTGGGTGCAGCTGGAGAGGGGCAGAGGGCAGGGGCAGAGCTGCTGAGCAGCTGGGGACCCTGCAGCTGGCCAGGCTGCGGTGTTGCGGCCAAAACCCCAGTGACACAGGGTTCTGGTCCTGCAGAGTTGCTGTGACCATGTGGAGGGCAATTATCTCCTCACGTAGAACTGTGGAGAAGGTGCTGCCAGAGCTCCTCTGTGTGCTGGAGGACTGGCCGCTGCACAGCACATCCACCTCTGATAAGGACAACTCAGATGTCTTTCCTCTGGCCGTGAGTTTCTGGACTAGACCCAAGCACATCCTCAAGGAATGTCTCTATGGCATCTCTCCATCCTTAGTCCCCCATCCATCATTGCATCCCGTGCCTCACACGGTGTTCTAGAAACCTGGGTTCATGGCAGTTGCAGAGGCAGTCAGGGCAGATGCTGCTCCCCCTGCATCCCTGGCACAGAGCAAGGCCTGAGGTTCATTCTCGCATGCCTGGGCCCTGCCACAGAGATGTCTTGGTGTTGAGCATAGTTTCTGGCTATTTTGGTTTTTGCAGGCAACCAGAGCACTGTGGGAAATCATTCACCTGCCCGAGTGCCCAAAGATGTTGATTCTGTATTTTCCCCGCCTCTTTGTGGCCCTGCTCTTCCAAGTTTTCTCCAGCACAGAGCAGATGCCAGTGAAAGTCAATGCCTTCTGGAGGCAATGTCAGCACAAGCACTTTCTGCCCAAGAACCCCAACAGGTGCTCCACAGGTCCTCCCATCTCCACAGTGCCCTTGGAGCTGGGTCCAGGATTCCTGGCATCATCTGGGCTTTGCTCTGCACACAGATTTGCATTGATGACCATGAAAGCACTGCTCTGTGAGCTTGAGTATGAGGATGTGGTGTCTGAAGTTGAACGTGAGTGTGGATGGGACACACTCCTCAGCACTGATACCCACCACCATACAGTGGGTCTTCTGGCCAGGTGAGAGCCCCATTCTCCGTGCCCCAGCTGTCCACAGTGACCACAGCATCCCTGTGATCATGGGAGAGAGGGACTTGTCACTGAGGGATGGTGCAGCAGAGTGACAAAGCCTTGAAGGGCAGGGTGCACTGGAGGAGCCAGAACCCAAAATGCCAGCATCTCTTTCCGTGAGGAGTGCCAGGGTCTCAGTGCTGATGGCACAGGGCAGGAGCTCTGTCTGTGGGCAGCCTCACTGAGGACAGCCTGCTGGGAACAGGGCAGTCGCATTGAGGGCAACTGACAGCCTGGGGGACAGGACTGCCCTGTGGGCAGAAAGGGTGGTTTTCTAGCCTCTTCATTCCTGAAATGAGCCTGCTGGTGTTTAGCTCCACCTTCCTCCTTGCAAGAGCTAGTGGTGAAAGAAGAGGCTTCTGTGAGTCAGTCCCAGGAGAGTTCTGCCTACCCTCCGACCCTGCTCAGAGTCAACAGTGTCTTTTTTCCCCTGCCAGGGCAATGCTCAGGATCTCACAGCCTTTGTGTTGCCGCATTGCACGCTACCTGTTCAGGCTGCTCCACAGAGAGAAGGCACGCTGGGAGGTGGCTGCCATGGCCTTCCTTGTTGAGGTGAGCCTGATGGCAAGCACTGCCTTGCCAAGCTGTGTCCCACCACTCTGCCCTCTTAGAGATGCAGATGCAGGGGAGTCCAGTCAGTGAAGGAGGGGAAGAGGTGGGCTCTGCTCTGTACCCTTTGTCCCTTGCTGCTGGGGTGACACCTATGGTTTGTGCTATTCTAGTGACAGCTCCTCCTCCTTCATCATGCCTTGTCAAGTCCAACATATTGGGCCAAGGGCTGATGGAGAGAGTGGAGCGAGTGAGCAACCTGCGCAGGGCAGTGGAAGCACAGGGTGCTCTGCAGCCTTTACTTCCTTTGGGCTCTGGTGCCTTTGATATTGCGTATGTCCTTCTCTTGCCCATAGCTAGCCCTGTGCAGTGATAGGGTTGTATCAGCTGTGCATCCCTGTCACTGATTTGTGTTTCAGATCCTGCCTTGCCTTAACATAAAGCAATGTGGTGGATACATCCTTCAGCTTTTCCCAATCTACCTATTGAGGCAGTGCACAGTTATGCGTCTCCTGGTGCTTAGATGCCTCATGGTGCTCTGCAGGAGACCCTCTATGGTAAGAAGTAGGCAGACAGCCAGCCAGTGTGGGGTTGAGTAACACAGTAGCTTGCACTTGGAAGGGCTTCAGAAGATGTGCAGCTTCTTCCAGCTTTGCTGACTTGCCATTCATCTACCAGAGTCCATCAGACCAGGCCTTTGGCTTCTGGGCTCTGAGCCATCAGCAAGGCATTGAACTGCTGGAACGTTTGGCACTGCAGCCTTTCATGGCTTCACAGCATTATATTGTGTTCCACACAGGCCAACACAATGTGGGCCCTGACTGAAAGCCTCACAGAGGTGCTGAAGGATGAAGACGGGGAGGTGAGGGAGATGACTCTCTCTGTGCTCAGTGAGATGGCCCTGAACAGAGATGTGCCAATTGCCAGTTCCCTCGCTCTACAGCTGGTTGAGGCACTCCGGCCACTCATTGACAATGTAAGGCTCTGTGCCCCCCACCACAGGTGCTGGGTGCTGCCAGGAAACTGTCCCTTGTGGATTTTCAGTTCCACACCCAGTTGGCGTGGAGCAGTGAGTTCTGAGGTTCTTGCTCTCTTCCCTTTAACTAGGATATGATCCATGTGCAGCTGCTCTCCATTCACCTCTTTCAAGCACTGATGAAGTTGGTAGAGGAAATGGGGAAAGAGCCCCTAGAGGGAATGGCACACCAGAGCCTGTTCCCACTGTTCCTCCACTTGCATGACAGGAACCAGTTTGTGGCCGAGGTTTGAGCTTTTGAAATGCTGTGTCCAATTTGGATGTGACTTGGCTCTCTCTCTCTCTCTCTCTCTCTCTCTCTCTCTGTCTGTCTATTTATCTATCTATGTAACATTTGCATAATTTAATCTTCTTGGCTCTGGCCCAAAGCAGTTGGAGGTGCAAAATTCACATAAAGCATCCCTTTCAGGAGAGGATTAAAGACATTGACCGATTTTGAGCAGGCAGAGCTGTTTCCTCCTCCAGATGTGGTGTTTCTTTCCCCTCAGACATGGTTTCCTCCTCCAGCCTCTTCTTCCTGGAGCCCCCAGTTAATGCTTTAATGTTCAGCCTGTCCCAGAGAGGTGGAAGAATTCCATGTTTTAGGTGGTAAAAAGAACATGCACTCCAGAAGTGTTTCTCACAAGGGCTGAGCTCACCCAGGAAGCCACCTGCAGAGCCAGGATGGAGCTGTGGGACAGGGTGGGGTGTCAGTCACTACTAAAAGACAAACAGAGCATGGCAGAAGCAGAGGGAGGCTCTCAGCAGACCCTTGAGAAATGCCACACCTTCCCTGTCAGCTGCCTGAGAGGCTGTTGGAATTTCAGCCCCAAAGGGCCCCTGATTGCAGTGCCAGGGTCACTTTGGCATCTGTGCCTCCCCATGGGCAGAGAATGACCCAGGAGAGCAGGAGAGCTGCAGCACTGCAGTGCTTTGGGAACGTGTGAGCCCATCAGTCCTTGAGTCTTGGCCCACAAATGTCATATGGAAAGTTGAAACACATCTTCTCTTGCTTTCTGTGCAGGTCCTTCCAGAGAAAGAGCTGGAGCAGCTTGCTTTGTCAGAGATGCCACGGCAGACTCAGGGAGAGCTGTTCCCAGCCCAAGAGCAGGAAGAGCAGCTCAGGCAGCAGGTGGAAGAGTCACAGGAGAATGGCCAGGTAAGCCTGACTCGCCAGGTGTCAAAGGGAAGGGCAGGAAGAGGGGCATAAAATGGAGCTCTTGGGACTGAGGAGGCCAGGAGTCCCAGAGGCACTGAAAGCACAGAGCCTTGGAATCTGCCAAAGTCAGCACTGGGACAGGAGGGTTACACTGGAAGCAGAGGTGGGTAGGGAAGCAGAAAGAAGTGGCTGAATAAAGGTGATTTTGAGGCTGCAAGAGGAAAAAGCTGAGCCTGAAGGCAGCTCCCAGTCACTTGCTCTGCATTTGTGTACAGAACATCAAGGCAGAGTCACAAGCAGAGCTGCCCAGGGCTCAGAGTACCATTGTGGAAGTGAAGAAGGGGAACAAGGAAGACATGAGAAGAATTCAAGAGGAGATCAATCTCCATCAGCAGAGGGCCGATCAACAAAACCAGGTGAGTGAAAGAGTGGCAGCCACTCCACTCATGAAAGATCCTCTCTCTTGTATTTTACAGAACTTGAAGGAACAGCTGGACACGGAGTTACAGAAAGTTCACACTAAGATGAAGGCAAAGGAGAAGAGGCAGGAGGAAGAAATTAAAATCATCAGAGAAAAACTTGATCCCCTCCCTCAGGCTCTACAAGAGCAAGTGAGTGAAAGAGGGATAGCCACTGCAGTCACCAAACTGGTGGTTTCTGCCCTTCTTGCCTTTCCAGTGCAGAGCTGCAGGAAGTGCGGTGATGCCTCTGAGTGCCATCCTGCTGTAGTGTGTATCACACTCACTCTGAAGGACATTTCCTGGTGTGCTGAATCTCAACTGCTGCCCTGGACAGTGGGACTTGTCATTTGGCCTTTTGGCCAGCAGTCATCCAAATTGATTCCTGCTGGCCTGTTCCTGCTCTCCTTGTTTCTTGAAGTGTTTTTACAGGGGAACATGGTGACCCAGAGGGAGGATTGAAACAAGCTGTCTGTACCCCTTGTAAATCTGTTCTTTCCCTTTCCTCACAGTCAATGACTCTTGACTGGCAGAGATAAGCCGTAGTCTCTGACTGCTTTGTTCTGTTTAACTTGAGGTGAAAGTGTTGACATCTCACCGGGCAGCCTACAAAGACTTCCAGAAAATGGGTGGCAATGAAGAGCCCCAGGTTTGGCGTGAGGTACAGGAACTCTCCCCACCAAAGGTGCTACAAGTTGAGCACAACCTGAAGATGGTGCAGGAAAAGAGGACACGGTGGGAGGAGGCAGAACATTTGAACAAGGAGCTGAAAGTGTGTCTAAAGCCCTTGGAGGGGGAAAGGAATCCTTGAGAGGAAGTAGAATGGTCATTGTGGAAGTGATCCTTTCGAAAATCCATGAAAATGGAACATGAATCTGGCCATGAACTTGAGTAGAACTAACCTTTGGTTTTGACCCATCCAGTTTGAGAAGTGGACATCAGAAAAAAACCCATTTAAGAGCCCTGCATGTGGCTGAGAGCACCTTCCTAAGGGCTTGCATTTGAAATGGGATCTCAGGCTAATCTCTGCCAGCCACCTTTCTGACATAAACTCATTTCTTGTCCCAGATCTACAAGGGCTTTGTCAAACCTGCTGTAGGAGCAACATTGTCGAAAGGAGCCTTTGCTCCCCAACCTGAGAAGTGGAACCGGGGCTGTTTGCTCATCTCCAGCACTGCTCAGCAACAGAACAAGGATGACTCCCTGGAGCAACTGAGTACGTCTGCTGTATTTCTTGTCTGAGGGACAGCATATTGTATGCATGTTTCAGCATAGCAGTACCATGTGTTTTCCCTGAGTTTGGTGTCCCAGGGACATTTAGAGACATTTCCCCACGGGAACTGCTGTAGAAAATCAGTCTCTGTCCTGGCCACCTGTGCTGCAGAGCTTTCTGCCTGGTTGTTGTTGTTACCCAGGTGACCACAAGAAGTTCAAACCTCCAGGCTCTGGAGCTGCCTTTTGCATCTCCTGGAACCTGGGATCTTTGCTTTAAAGTGAGCATCTTGCATTTTGTTTCCTTCAGGGAAAATAGTGAACATGGAAAATCCTGTGGGGAAATATTCTGAACTGGAATATATTGGCAGCGGGTGAGTCCAACCACAGTTACTTCTCCATAACCATGTGCCAGGTGTTTTTCTGGTGGAATATCTATGCAGTGTGAAGTCAGGCCAGCTGCAAACAGACATCTATGGCCATGTTCAGACACTGGGGATAGATTGTCCCATCTCTCAGTGCTGCTCAGAATTTGTGAGTGTGCCCTGAAGGTGTTGTCAGAGACATCTCCATGCTGCCGAGGTCTTGCCTGCAGCAAGGAACAGGACCTGGAAGATCTCCTTGTCTCTCAAGTGTGGGACAGCTCTGTATTAATTTCCTTAGTATTTATGTATCTCTCCAAATCATACAGCCACACTAATAAAAGGGGAAGAAACTTGCTTGCCTGAAAGAGCAACCTACTACCTCATAGCTGTCAGATAACAGTTCTCAGGAACATTTCTTTCCAAGAGTTTGCTGAAGGAAATTCTACATGGTCAGGGTGAAAACAGCACAGTTTAGAACCTGAAACCTGAGATGAAAGAAGGAGCTCTCTTTAGGAGCTGAGGCAGTAAATGGCAGCACTTCAGAGACAGGTCCAGTGCCCATGCACTTGAGAGGAAAATGCATCATCTGCCTTCTGGCAGAGCCCTCCTGCATCCTGCAGGTCTTAGGCATTTACAGCAGAGATGTCCTCTGTGGGCTGGCTTTCACTGCAAGATCTAAATGGCTTCTCCTTTCTTTGCTGCTTTTTTGTCTCTAGGACTTTTGGATTTGTGGTTAAAGCACTCAACAAAGCCACAAGAGTAGAGGTAAATGTCAACAGCCCTCACAAACTCTGCACTCAAGGGCTTTCCCCTCTGGTGTGAGCAGCTGTGGCCGGAGCTTTGGCTTGAGCTGTGCTGAAGAGGCACAAGAAACACAGACTGGTGCCAGCCAGCAAAATACATTGGAGACAGTCTTTGTCCTTCTCAGCTGCCAGAAGGAAGGCACGGAGGGCAACAGTCCTTTTCAGAGAAGGATGTGCTCACTCGCTCTCAATTGCTAAAACAAAGGTGGTGCCTTAGAGCATCTCACTGCTCTTTGGGGCTACAGCTTCAGAGTCTTGAATTCTCACTTCTGGTTGCCAGCAAATACATCTGAAAATTATTGGTAGTTCCTCAGCCACCTGCAGTGCTGCACTTGGGAACTGCACAAAGGGAGAGATCTGCAAGGCATCCCTAGAAACTCGAAGCCCTGCCCATAGCCCAAGATGCAGCCACAGAGTATTAAGGCATGGATTACTTCTTCTGAATCCTATACAAAGCAGCAGGAAGTGGGCTCAGAAGTTTGTGGGTGATAGTTGAGACACCACTGTCACCAAGTGGACATGGCAAAACCTCAGTGGCCACGTGTCCTGTAACTGGCCCCCAAGGGAGCGGAGAAATGGGCTATTGCAATGTCACTTCCTAATTACTGCAATGCCTAATCACAAGGCAGTTTGGCACAGCTCGGCTGTGTTCTCGTGCCACCAACTTCTCAAGTTACTGGTTTTCAATGTCATTTTAGGTGGCCATAAAGAAAATAAATCTCCAAGGACCGAGGAAGAAGGAACTAAAAGTCAATGAACTAATGGTTCTGAAGATAAATAAGAATCCCAACATCGTCAACTATTTAGACAGGTGAGTTGTTGCAAATGTTTGTTTACATATTGCAAACAGGCAAGGTTGTTCACTGGCAGAAAATAGAGCTGTAATTACTGGTTAATTATTACTGCTCTGTTCATCTCCAATGGATGGGAAGAGAGTGCATCTTGTCTGCAGAAGTATTCCCTGGCACATACAGTTTGGAAATTATTCAAAAACCTGCATCAGTCATATCTTACTAAATTAATAGGCTGTAAGTTCACAGCCACCCCATTATTTTGGGGCTTGATTTTTTTCAACAGTCCTCCTACATCCGGGTAAACTAACATGGATTTTCCTTGGATTGTGTCCCCTTCTTCTCCATTGCTTTGAATGCCAGGAAGACTAGGTGGTTATTTCCAGAAACACACAATATGACAAGTTTTTTATCTGTTCCTAAACTGCAGTTTTTACTTGCTGGCTATTTAAGACATCTCCTTTTTCAAAGCTGTGCCTTTCTTCTTGAGACAGATTGCAAACAATGCACAGCCTAGAGGGAATGTCTATTCCTTTTATTCTGTCCTTTTCACAAAGGGACTTGGAAATAAGAATCAAGAAAACAAACTAACCATGCATGTTTACCTTCATGCTCTTGTTTCCTTCTTTCAGCTACCTTGTGGATAATCAGTTCTGGCTGGTTATGGAGTTCATGGATGGAGGCACTCTGAGTGATGTCATCAGCAAGACCTACCTGTCTGAAGAGGAGATAGCAGCCATCAGTCGGGAGGTCAGGGATCCCACCTATGCTTCAGAGGGCTTGGGAAGGATTGTCTGGGAAACAGGGGCTCAGAACAGGAGAGGTTTCATGTGTAAAGCTTTGTTTCCCTCGTGCTGGTATGGTATGGGCAAGTAAAAGCATCTCAGGGGAACCGCCTGCCAGTGCCCCTGCACTCACTCTACTCAGTTCTTGTACTCTTCTCTCCTGCTGTTGTATTCTTGCTCTGCCTCCTGTATTTGTATTTGCTTTTCTCCACCTTGCCTCCCTAAACTTTTATCTCAATCCTGTCTGTACTGCATTCCTTGCCTGTAAAAGCAAGGTGCTTGTAGCAGGAATTGAAATGATCAGCTGAGAAAAAACAGAGACTCATTTCTCATAGTCCTCAACTGAAAAGGACAGTGGTGAAGCTAAAATGCCCTTTGCTTCAGGAAGGTGACTGGTGTGATACTTCAAGTCTGTGCTGAGGCCAGCAATAAAACTTTCATCACGCAGCCTCCCACCCAAAAGTGATCCGCTTCACACCAAAGAGAGGGACATTTTCTTTCTTGGCCTAACCCCTCCTTTGCCCTCTGCATGGAGAAAGCACATCCACTGCAGCAGCAGTCATCCTGGCTGGTTTGCAGGGGACAGTCTACAACAGCAGGTGCTGTTGCTCTTTCAAAAGCTGACATGCCTTTCCTTAGAAAGGTCTTGCTCTGCAAGTGTTGGAGCAGCAACTCTTCCTCTCAATGGCACTGTGTTCTGCCATTACTCGCCATTCCCCTAGGGAATGGGAATCTTTTAGAGTCTCTGTTTCCTTTCTTGTGTGATGAAGTCACTAATTTTTGCCCTCCTGTTTCTGTTTTCTCTCTCAGTGCCTGCAAGGACTGGATTTTCTTCACTTGAACCACGTGATCTACAGAGATGTGAAGAGCAACAACATCCTTCTCAGAACCGACGGCTCTGTCAAGCTGGGTCAGTATATTCCTGGTCAGGTGCAGTGTTCAGGGAACTGGGGTGAGGGACTGCTTTGAGCGGCTGCCAGCTCCCCAGGAATGGTGCTGGTGGCAGTGCAGGGACCCCCCACTCTGAGCTGAGGGCACGGTTGCAATGTGCACAGAGGTATAAGAAACCACAAGAAGTCAAGGGTGGCGTTGGTGTGTTTGTGTCTCTTCCAGAGGGAGGGAGCCACAAACTAAAGCTTCAGGGGAATAAAGGCCACTGCTGTGAGCAGCATTAAAAAACCTGGGATATTTTGGATGTGGCCAATTCCATACTTGGCTAAAGCCCCATGGAAACCGAGCATGGACAGTTCTCGAAGAGATTCAACACCACATTCTTAGACTGAGAGTAGGAAATCCTTTTGCTTGGTTTCCTAACTTGAGCTGGTTTTCATGGTATGTATTTCTCCACAGCTGACTTTGGTCTCTTTGCTCAGCTCACCCCTGAGCAGAGTAGACGGAGCTCAGTGGCCAGCACTTCTGGCTGGATGGCGCCTGAAGTGCTGACAGGTCAACCATACGGTCCCAAAGTGGACATATGGTCTTTTGGAATCGTGGGCATCGAAATGGTGGAGCGAGAAGTTCCTCACAGGAATGAAACTCCTGTTTCGGTAAGGTGCAAATACTTCCTGATCCCACCTGTCTTTCTCACCTGTCCCATGTCCTGTGTGCCATTGGACAAATTCCATTGCCATCTGCTGGCACCACTTCCACCAAGGTCCTCTTCTAAACATATCACTGCAGCACATCAGCATCTGCTGTAAATTTGGTTGCATCAGTGGCAGTTCAGAAACCTAACCAATTGAGAAACCTGCCATTTGGCTTCCAACCATGCCTGACATTTCTCATTTGCTTTCTGAACTCTGTTGGTGCTCTGTCTCTGAAGGACAAGAATTTTTCAGTGGAGGGTTAGACATGTGATAAATATCCTAAGAAATTGAGGTTAGACCTTCCCAGTTTCAATTTTATTGGAAATGAAAAAAAATTAAAAAGAAAAAAAGAAACAACCATCAAAGCAATGCCCAAGTAATTTTGTGTAGGAGTGACAGTGGGTAGGATGGTCGGGATGGAGGGAGACGAGAGATCTTTGAAGCCAGGTCCTGGAACTTTCAGTTTATTGCAAAGGGCGTGGGTGCAGGGCCCTGCTTGGAGCTGCCAGCCACAGCTTGGAGCAGGCCCAAAAGAGGAGCCCAAAAGAGAGACCTGAAAGAGTGAGGAAGTTGCTGTTACAATACAAGAAATCTTCTGTGCTGAATATTCAAATTTTCACTAACCAATCTAGTACAAGATACAAACACTAGAGCATTTACCTACAGCCTATAAGAATCATTACATTACCATACTGTGTTACATTTTAAACCCTAAAAACTACTCTTTGGAACCCTTCTGCCAAGCTAGTACGGTCTGCTCTGACCCTTGGACCTGTCTGCCAGCAGAGGGTATAGTTTAATCAAAAGGGGATTACCTTCTGCTGGCCATACCATTGTTTTCCAGTTGTTCAGTAACTAAGGCTAGTAACTATCTCAAAGCTTACTTTTATTTCAATCTCACTTACAGTTTCCATATTCTCAAAATCTTTTGCCAGGCATACATATTTGTAAGGTTTTCCCATTTCATCTTTCCCAAGAGTTTTGCTTTCTTTTTATTTTTTTAACCACAGCACATCAAGTTTTCTCCATTCTGTAGCATCTTTTCCAAAGTCCTGTGGGTCTTCAAAACTTTCAGGCTTCAAATAATCTGTACATTGTGCAGTCATGTGTGTGGGTGGCCTGTATAAGTTGAGGATGTTTTTTTCTCCGACTGCAGTAACACTAAACCCTTGGCTGTTTCTGGATACTTTAACAAGTTGATGAGCTTGCAGCCCGGTGCCTGGGGCTGGGACCCAACATGGGCGGTTGATGCTGGTGCTGTGATCCTTTACCACAGGAGCAGGGCCATCCCTGGCTTGCACAGTTCTAAGGACAGTGAGGACTCCAGCTCCCCACCATGTCCAGTGGCTGAGCTCAGTTGCAAAGACACAGGATAAAACCCTCTTTGTGACCTCTGGGGATGTGGGAAAAGGAAAGAAAGCTGCCATAATTATTTATACTCCAGGGGAGTGTGCTTGCTGTTTTAGGCTTGGAAATTTTCCTCTAGGTTGAAGAGGATAATGACAAAGTTTTTTGGGTCACCATCTATTTCAGTGCCACCAGCACACAGCTGTAAGTATTGTGATGGACATTTTTATGGAGAACAGGCCGCAGCCTGGTGTCATGGAGAGCCTGTCAAAACCTCCCACTTCTTACCGACACTTTTTGCAATGGGGACGCCATTAATGAATTGACTTGAGTATCTAAATGAGCAGAGGGTGACCATAGGGATGGTGCTTCTTCTTCTGATTTGACCTTGAAAAGGTTTCCTTTTGCCACGTAAAGAAGCTGAAACTTGCAGCTGAGAGACAGAGATGCAGGTGGCTCCTGTGTGCCCAAGCAGGCATTTTCAACCCAATACATTTGTGCAGGCATCTTAAAGGGTCTGTGTTGAATATGAGATTCCAAATGTTTGTTTCCTTACCTTGAGGAATACCTGGTGGATTTCCTTTCTTGCCTCCCATGTACCACTGTTTTCTAGAAGAGGACAAGAAGCTCGATGAGTTTTGGTTTATGACCACTGTGCTTAAGGGACCCACAAGCACTGCAGAGATGCCTTTCACGTACTAATCCTTGGAAATAGCAGAGTTAGTTAGTGTAGCAGAGTCTGTCTTCCAAAAAGCTGGTGTGAATCCTCCAATAAGGAAACATGCTTTACTGATGTAGTTTCCACTAACTAGGTCAGTCAATGAAATCAGCTGCCAAGGCAAGATCTACTGAATGTTGGAAAAGCTGTGGCTGCATCAGGGTTTGGGTTTTTGGTTAGTAACGAAAGTCATCTCTGGGTCTCTGCCAGGGCAAAAACTGCCACTGCAGAATGGAGCTTAAACAATGGGATTCTGAGAGAGCAGTTACAGATGGGAAAGAAGCAGGTGGAGCCTCATGTTTCCTTTTCCTGCAGGATGAACTCCTAATAGCCAGAGGAGAGCGACCACAGCTGCGCCAGGCCAACCGATTCTCACCTTCCCTGCGTGACTTCCTGAGCTGCTGCCTGCAGACAGACAAAGAGCAGCGCTGGTCTGCCAAGAGGCTCTTGCAGGTAAAATGCCAAGGGGCTGAGGTGAAACAGTGTCTGAGGGATGGGCTCCTCCTCCACTGAGGTCCGAGGCATCAGATGAACCCCCTTCCTCCTCACCTCCACTCTTGGTGATGTCCAAATGAAAACAGTGAGGAATCCTAGACTGCGCTGGGCTGGCAAGGCTCTGTAAAGTCCTCTGATCCAAGTGTCCTGCAATGAGCAGGGACATCTTTAAAGAGATCAGGTTGCTCAGAGCCCTGTCCCACCTGACCTGGAATGATTCCAGGGATGGGGCACCTACAAGCTCTTGGGACAGCCTGTGCCAGGGTGTCACCCTGCTGTGAGTAAACAAGTTCTTCCTTAGACCTACTCTGATTAGATCCCCTTTGTGTTTGAAACTATTTGCCCGCACTCTATTGCAACTGGCCCTGTTAAAAAAGGTGTCCCCCACTTTCTTCAAAGCCACTCTGAAATCTTGGAAAGCAGCAATAAAGTCTCCTTGGGGCCTGTTCTTCACAAAACCGAATAACTCCACTTCTCTCCGCATTTCCTGAGAGGACAGGTGCTCTGTTTTCTGGCTGTTTCTCTTGCCCTGATTTGGTGGGGTGTTCAGTTTCATCTAACAGCAAAAGAACTGAAGTACAGCAATGCAGCGTAGAGAGACATGAAATAGTGGTGGAGAAACCCAAGGCTGCCAGTCCTGGCATTGGCTGTGGGCAGGAGGGGCTGTGAGGGGCTCACTCTGAGCCTCTGAGGGGCCCTGGTTTGTGCCCCCCACCCCACCCTTAAAGGTTTCTGGCACACAAACAGGGACAGCTGAGAGGAACTTGTCCCAGCCCCATCTGCTGCCTGGCACGCTCAGGCAGAGGGGAACTGGCCCAGGCTGACTGCCAGGTTGTGTGGCAGAGAGGGAACTGCAGGACCCAGCACCACTCAGCTGGCCCTGCTGGGAATGAAGGTGCCATGCAGCACAGGAGGAGCAGGGCATGGAAAGGCAGACACTGCTCTGTGTGCCTGTGGAAATTAGCACAAGACAGGGACCTATGGGAGTCATTGGAGCTTCTTGAAAGGAAGAAACCCCAGGGACAGAAAGCACCATTTCTAGAGCACTGGCAGGGCAAAAATCCTGGCAAGATGGAGAAACCAGAATAAATGGAGGAGCGGGATTCAGGGCCAGGTTTGCCTGTGATGGCAAGGTCCTGCACATGACAATTGAGGAGCAGATGGTCCCACTGTTTTCCTTTCTGGGTCTTTCTAGGAGCTAGAGGAATCATGATTGAGTCTGTGAAGCACTGAGCTTGGAAACTCATGGTTCACTGTTCTTTGTTGTTTTTTTTTCCCTTTGGACAGCATCCATTTGTAACATCAGCCAAGCCAGCGTCCACCCTGGCACCACTCATCAACTCAGAGAAGAAGAAGAAGACAAAGAAGACAAGAATCTAACAATCAAGATATTATCTCTGTTACCAAGTTAGAGTACGATTGTAGAGTAGGACTCTAGAATAGGATTGTTAAGTAGTTTTTTAGTATAGGTTTATAGATATTGTTATAAAAAGAAGGGTTATAAAAGTTATGCTAACCTAGTTACAATGCTGTTATTGCTGCTTATCACTTACCTGTGTTCATTCCTGGTTAGAAATCCTCCTGTGTTAGGTGCTGTTTCACTGTGCTGCCAGCTGCTGCTTCCTGGAAGATGGTGCCCGGGCCTGTGAGGAGGAAATGACATCAAAGACAGTATGCAAATACAGGAACTCCTCAGAAACCACGCTAAAATCCCCTAGAACTACGAGCCTTCACAAAATTATGGACCGGGATGCTTGCAGAAGGGTGAGTAACTAACTCTAGTACCCATAGGGATGCTTTTAATCTGTCGCTCTACCCTGCAGAGACCTTGAATAGCATGAGGACCCTAGACCATAACACAGACTGCGAGAAGAAGGGGAAGAATCCTGCTGCTCTTGTGAGGACGGATCCCCCAGCTCTGCCTGCACGTGAAGCGGACAAAGCTGAATTTCCTCCTCCTTGGTGTCCCTCCAGGAAGCAGCAGCAGCGTGTGCACAGCCTGTCGGGCCCCCACCCAAGCTGCTCTCATTTAATAAAGGCATTTTTAAGGAGAATCATATCCTGCCCATTTATTACAGATAGGATTATAATTAAATAAAATTTTTGAAACATCAAGTCATTTGGAAGATTCCCCTCCTTCGGACCCCTTCAGAAAACATTTCCTTCTGAATCGCCAGTTGTCTTTTGTTGGAAATCAAAATGTCTCTCAGACATTTTTAGAGGTTCCAGGCCTTGGTCAGAAGCATTCTAGACCCCAGCAGGCAGCTGGAAACAGCTGTGATTTTGAGTTTGAGCCATGGAATGAATTACCAACTTTGAAGGTGGAACAAGCAGTCACAGAGGGCTAGATAGTATAGTAAAAGTAGTGACAAAACAGAGGGGAAATTTTTTTAGTATTGTACAGGGGGGTTTTAGCACATGTACAGGGGGGTTTTTACTTTGTACATGGGGGTCAGAAGTTCTAAGATGGAGGAAAGTGGGCTGATCCTATTCTTCCTCCTTCTTCCTTACCCCCATGTACTTGGTGATGTTGGCATTCACAGATTGGTTTAGAGTAGAAAAGCACTTGGTAATATAGGTAGTAGGTATTGGGGAAAAACTGTAAACATGTAATACATAATATATAATCTAAAAGATAGCAGCAGCCCTGGGCGGGGGGAGAGAAGAAGAAGACACTAGACAGTGAGGGTGTCAGGAGTGTGTGTGTCTCTGCCGGGGCCGCTGATCAAACAGCCGCAGCCCGCGAACACAATCTGTTAGATAACTCGCAATAAACTGCCTTGAGACCAAACAACAAGAGCCTGCAGAGTTTTTCTTTGGAAGCATGGGTTGGAGGAGAGAATTTACCACCACACGAGACCCCAGACCAATCCTGGGGTTCTCACACAATATAAGTTAGTAAGATACATAGATTCAGACCAAGGGACACTCTTCACCTCTAAAATCATTAGGCAAATAGCCAACGCTCTAGGGATCCAGTGGGAGTACGACATCCCATAACATCCTCAGAGCTCCAGACAAGCTGAAAGAATGAATCAAACATTAAAAGCCCAATTACCAAAATTAATTTTGGAAACAAAAATGTCCTGGGTAAAATGCCTCCTTTTGGCCCTAATAAATATCCAAACCATGCCTCATTCTGAGACTGGGCTATCGCCCTTTGAAGTGCTGTACTAAAATAAGAGATTTTCCAGAGATCATTTGAGCTAACAAAATGAATGTATCAAAAATGAATGTATCAAAAAAAATGAATGTATCATGTTTGTAGAATCATGTGTTGAATTTTAAGAAACCTCTGCCATGGCGCAAAAGGCATAGGAAAGAGAGAGAAAAAAAAAAAAAAAATCTTTAAAGCTTCTTGCAAAAAGACAAATACCAGAGAAGACCTGGAATGCAAAGAACTCAGATAAGGAGGCCCCTCTGTCAAGGATGATGGACTTATCCAGATAAGATAGCAGAAGGCCAAAAGCGCATGCACAGAGAAGAGTTCAAAAGTTCAATGCAGAGGAAGACTATGGTTTCAGCCTTAAAAGACCATCAGAGACTCCCGTAAAGACCACCACAAAAAACCACGCATGCCCAGAAGGACATGGACCTATTTAGCATGAGAGGCGAAGACAGGCGGGGCCAGGGGTTGAATATGCATAGAAAAGTTGTGTAATGTATTGCATATGGAACACCTTTGTGAATAAAATTGTGGGACAAACTCCAGCTCGGGGCACAAGATTTTGGAGAGCTATCTCACTTGTGCCAGGCGCTGTCATACATACCCACTTCATAACTACATCGAGTTGTGGAGTCTATTTATTTATTCCCCGTATTGCTTCAGCACCTGCTCTCAGCAGGGGTTCCTGAACTTGTTTATAAATCTCTTTCTGCTGTATAGTCAGCATAACACCCATCGCTAGCTTCACAGCAAATCTCAACCAATTACTGCAGCAAACCCCAAAGTTCTAAAGCTACGACGGAAACTCTCGTCACGCCTGTGCGCTGGCGTGTCGCCCCTCAGGCACACGAAAGCCAATGTCTCCTGGCCGGGCCCCTGCCCCCCAGTACCGAGACTCACCCACTGCCATCCTTTAGACACCACTGCAGCAACGGTTCCCGAATCCGCGGGGGGTTTCCCGGGTGTTGGGAGGTGCTGTCCGCACCTGTGGAGACCTCGCCAGACAGAAATCGGCGTCTGTCTCCACGGCAACAGTCCCGCTGGGCTGTGTGGAGAGGCAAATGCCTCACCACCAGCGTGATCCCAGAGCTTCTCCCCGCACAACTGACAGCTTGCGTGGCGGCTTATTCGCACCGCTCGCCGCTCTGTTGCTCGCGGTGACACTGCAAAGTGTCTGGAAAAGCTCCTAGCTGGTGCACTGTCCATGGCAGCTGGGGCCTCGCTCGCTCAGACCAATGCAAAGCCCAACGTTGGTGCGCCACTTGTTGCTTCTCTTTCGACCGCTACTTGTTGCTTGCAGGGGTTCCTCGCCACTGTCCCCCGCCCCTCCCCGGCCCCGGGACCCTCCGGCTAGCTGTCCCCTCTCGGGGCCGGGGTTTTCCGCGGTCCCACTGCCCTGGGCTTACCAGGCAGTGGCTGGGTTAGCACAGTCCGAGCGGCAGCATTACCTCAATCACCGCTAGGATTCGAGATAAAGAGACCAAGAGAGACCAATGGTATGCTTGTCCAGAGAGATTGTATTGCCTGAACTGTTGCAGGGACCAAAGGCCCCGGGCTATTGCCCAGATACAGTTTTATACAGCAAAATTAAGAGATAAAGTCTAAACAATAGAGACAGTGTCCAGCTAAGGCACATCAGAACCACCCCAGGGGCCACGTCCAATGGGAACTGCTCAGGGGTGGGGAGAAGGGGGTTTACAGAGGAATGCTGAAGCAGGACTTTCCTGAAACAGTGGAGCATACATAAATGTATCTTTTACCTCAGTTTACCATTCCCAAGGCCTTTCTAAAACCTTCCTCCATGCTACCATGCCAGCATGATAGCTACAACTCTTCTCCCAGAAGCCTTCATCTCCAGCCATTTCTGTGAGGACTGAGGTCTCTGTGTCAGCACAGAGAAAGAACAAGGCTGGGCTTCTTTGTGGCAGCTGGGACTGTCTGTGTTTCAAGCTCTCCTGGGTGCCCTTTGCACTGCAAATACTTTGAGTTTATTGGGATACTTCAAAACTTCTGAAGTTTTGAACATTTGGAAGGATTCTGGCTCTTTCAAGAGCAGGCTTCCAACTGCCAAGTGAGATATATCACAATAGATGGGACAGAATTATATTTATATGGATGTAGTTACATTTATAGATTTTGAGATTTACATTTATATCTTTCAAGAGTAACTTTTACATAGCTACATTGACATGCATACATTTACATGCTTGGATATAGATTTAGAAATGTGCATAGTTATTCAGTTGGAGGTATGTGGAAGTTTAGATGCATAGATTGAGCTGTGTAGGCCTAGGCTGCATTTTGACCTCTTTCCCCCCTCAGCTGCCTTTTTCACCTCTTGCTTTTCCCCCTGTGCCCCCTGTGTCCCCTCTCCCTGTGCTGGGTCGGAGCTGGGGCCGAGCCGGGCGGAGCAGCAGTTCCAGCCCGGGTGTCCCTGGAGCGCTGGGAGCTGCCGCTGGCCCCAGGCACTGTCCCCTGAGGAGCTGCTGAAGGACGGTGACACTGAGGGGCCGAGGGGCCGAGGGGCCGGTGACGCTGAAGGGACGGCGACCCTGAGGTGCTACTGTGGTTGATGGGTATGGGGCAGCCGAGGGCGATGGTGGCACTGAGGTGACAGGGAAGTGGCTCAGGCCGAGGGCGTGGTGGGTTTAAGAGATCTAGGAGACAGAGATCACTCAGCCCCGAGGTTCGTGTGGCACAGACAGCATTCATTTCCCAGGCCTTCCCCTATACAGAGCATTTGAAATTGGGATATTCTCGTTGGTCTGAACTCCACGGCCCTTGGGATCTGGCCAGTGAAATGCTTGAAGCTTCACAAGAGATCTGAGAGGGAGAAGCCCCGGTCAGTCAATCCCGGGGCTTGGCAGCAAGCTCATCTATGATATTCGCTAACACCAGCCATTGGGTGCCTTCTTTCTGTTCAGTTTTGTTAGGTCTTGGTTTGGTTTCAGTGATGTCAGGTTGAGATTAAAGGCATAGAAAGGGTGCAATTTTTACAATAAAGTGATCTCCTTTGGATGATGGAAGGGGTCCGTATTGCTTTGTTCCCCACTGCTGAATCCAAATCTACCTTTGGGGAATGCTAATTCAATAAATAGTTGCTATACATAAACAAAGCACGGGCTATCATTCTCAAAAATCTTAGAACCTTGTCTCAAGGTGTTTTGTTTTGCTTGGCAGAATACCTCATGTGTGGGGTAGAGAGTTATATCTT